GAGTGTCTTTACCTCTGGTTCGGAGAGAGAACGTGAAAGAAGCGTGGAATCCGTGCCGAAGCCTTAGCACTGACCGATTCACTCTGGGCCTCGGTTTCCCCATCTGTAAAAGGAGGGGGTGGACAAGCCCTCTGAGGGCCCTCCCAGCTGTGTCCTTCCATCCGGCCTTGATTCGGCATTCGACGGGGTTGCTGACGAACTTGATGCGGCATTCCACGGGGTTGCTGAGGGGCCCCGGGCCATTCAGGGTCGTGCCACCGTCTCGGCCGTGCAGTGGCGTCTACTCACGTCTCACACCCGAAGCTTCTCCTGGCCTATCACCACGGGGGAGGAGAAGCCCCCCAGAGGCCAAATGCCCCATCCACGGAGGAGGGCTCTGGGACCCCTGGCCACGGGGACTCTGCTGCCCTGTGGCCAACACCTTCTTAATCCTAGAGAGCTGGGGGCGCCTAGAGCTGTCTCCTTTCACTCTATGTTGCCGAGAAGTTGGTGCCCAGAGGGGACCAGGAGCTTACGCATGGTCGCAGAGCACGTTAGTGGGAATGCCGGCGCAGTGGCTGCAGTCTCTGGTGCCGAGGCTGGAGAAGGCTTCACAGCAGAGGGGGCTGAATTTAGTCACGCAGAGCTGAGTCCAAATTCCAGTTATGTTCCTCACCGGCCGGTAGGCCCTCGACAGGTCCCCTGACCCTACCCTCAGCACCAGCGTCTGGACCCAGGGCCAGTGACACCTACTCGTTACAAGGGAGGCGCGGTGGATAGAGAAGCCATGTAAAGCCAGCATGGCACGGCGCACAGTAGGTGCTCCGTAAAAGCAGCTGTTCCGACCACCTCTGCTAACACCGCCACGGCTGCCTGGTCACCGAGGACCTTCCCGAAGCGGGGGCACCCCCACTGCCGGGGGGCCATGGGACGCCATTGTAAATCAGCTCCTGGCAGAGGAATGGCTGGCCTGGGTGCTTCCATTTAGGACAAAGGTACCCACAGGGATGGGGACACTGCCCCTTTCTTCTCAGTCGTCTGCACAGAAGAACTGGCCCAGACATCTGAACCCCACCGGACAGCTTTATCCTGGTTCAGGCTGGTCTCTCCGTGTCGAGATGGGGCTGAGATGGCAAAGGTCAGGCCAGATGAGACCCCGGCCGCCCGAGCACACCGTGACCGGGGCTCAGTTACAGAAGCCAAGCAGTCTTGCCCAGTGGAAAGAACACAGCCACCAGAGCTCTGAGCCTGCCACAGCTGGGTTAAGGGTGTTTGCACCTTCCAGTGGGAGCTCTCTGCAAAGCGCCCAGGAGTAATGAACGCCTTCAGGACTCAGCAGGGCACTTGGGGAAGGCATCTGAGACCCTCGGGACACTCCCAGGCCCAGCTTCACTCCGCCTTGCCCCAGGGGTTCCCAGGGTCGGGAGGAATAAAGGGGCAATTTTTCTCACCATGAAAGGGTAGCCGATTGCCTCTAGGGTGGAATGCAGTATCTGTTTAACAGGGTAGGGGTGACAGATCACAGCCACTTGGGACTAAGCATCCCATATCTAATTGAAAATCCCAGGGAAACTGGAGGTGGGTCCGACGTAATTACCAAATTGGAGCGGGGCCAACAGGCTTGATTCCTGGGCTCAGGCTGTGACAGGATGACGTGCCTGTGCAAAACCAGGGGCATAAACTCCCAGAAGTAGACGCAGGGTGAAAAGGTGTCTGGGTGCTGCAGCTCCTTCCTGGCGAGCGTGTGCTGAAAGGCAGCACCCGGGAGGGACTGTTGGGCTCTCCAAAGCCCTTCCCCCCACTCAGCCTCCTTTGCTGAGTCACGACTGGGCCCGAGATCGAAGCTCGAGAAGTGAAACCTTGGCCGACTTCCTCACTCCTAGCGACACCCTGGAAGCTGGCAGATCCTCTTAGCTTTTGAGTCAGCAAGGAGGCCACAGCAGAGGAACACCCCGTGACGTGGTTCTCAGCCACAGGCCTCAGCAGTGCCCTTGCCAACACCCGCCAGCCCCTCTCCTGGCGTCTGCTGCCCTGCAGGGGCCACTCTTGAAACAGCAGGTGGACAGAGGGGCCGCTCACTTTGCTTTGACAAGGCAGGAGTTACCATGCGGCCGGGTGGGCTGTCTTCTTCAGCCCTGCAACCACACTCTGAGGGGCTCACCCAGCTCACTGGGGCGAAGCCGGACTTCCTGGGTGTGATGTGACCCCTCCCCTGGTCTTACAGTACTGCTTAGGGGAAGGCTGGGGGTCTGAGGTGCCCCTCCGTAGGGCCTGAGCTAACTAGCCACGAGCCCGTTCCCGTGCCGCTGGCTACACCCTGGGCACCCTGTCCTGGCACCCTTCCCTCCCTTTTCTCGGTTTCACTTCTCCATGACACTAGAGCAACGACTCGGGGAGTTGCCGCTCTCCCTCATCCTGAGGAATCCCATTGCAGCAAGCTGGAGCCCCACCCAGGAGCAGGGAGCCAGCGCCCAGCAGGCAGGTCCCACCCCAGGCCGCCTGTGCAGAGGCCTGCAGACCCAGCTGCGTGTGTTCCGAAGCAGAAAGGCGGTGACTGGTCTAGGTTCTGCACCACTGCCCCGCACGGCCCTGGGGACACCGGGGCCATCAGATCTGCCGTGTCAGAATCTCCATGGAAGTGACGGGTAGAGCAGACAGTTACGGCAGCTCCGCAGCCCAGGACACAGGCCCCAGTCCCGACCTGCTCCCTTCCCTCCAGGGACACAGGAGAAAACAGAACAGGAACCTAGTCCCTCCAGGGCCGACACACACGAGTCTTTTTCTGGTATCACACGGTTTTCTTTATCATCCAACATAAACAGAAGACTACGTTTCTAGAGCAGCCCGACACACACTTGAGTATTACATTTTCATTTTTTTAAATGAAACTACAGATTTCTCAGCTTCATGCTTTTCATGTTCATTTAAAATATATATCCTGGAGCCAGCAGGTGGCGTGGTGGTTAAGGTGCTGGACTCCCATGTGGCTAACCACAGTTCAGGTCCCAGACCCAGGGGCTTGCTTTCTCGCTTTCCCTCCCTCTGACTCCCTCTGGAGAGCACATGAGCTCTGTGGCAAATTAAAAAATAATAGTAATGATAAATAAAATTAAATAATCCTTTAACAAGTATGTGTGTGTGTGTATGTACAGTCTCAAAATATAAGAAAAATATATATATTCTGAACCTCCTGTGTGGGTCCGGGCCAGAGTCCTCCGAGTGACAAGCCTGGGCCTGGCATGTCAGAACAGAATGAGCACCCTCTTCTCTCGCAGGATGGAATGAAGGCCCTCAGAGGTGGGGCAGCCCAGGTCCAGGAGACATGGGGCCGGACAGTCCCTCACTGCGGGCCTTCTCAGACCTCCAACGTGCCGTGTGCGGGGTACAGGGCCTTCCACGCGAGCGGGGGGCCCCGGGGGCCCAAATGCAGCTCCGCTGTACCGCACTGGCCGCCCCACCGTGGGGCCCAAGTGATCCAGCTCTCGGTCAAGATGGCACCCAGGTGAGCCTGGCTGAGGGCCGGGGTCCTGTTCACCTGAACCCCCACACTCCAGCACAGACCCAGGAGCGACGCAGCCTGCTGCCCAACAAACCACTCGTCTAAACTTCAGCAAGAGCCGACGACGCTTTTCCAAACAAAGCAGTTACAAACTGACTGTTCGCCACCCTTCCAACTCATGTCACCATTTTCCTCAGAAAAGCTTCTGGGTTTGGGCTGCACCCTAATATGTGTGGAGGGCACAGAATAATAACAGCCATGGTAGTGAGGGTAATAGCTATTTGGAAGGTCTTTCTCGTCCGATCTCCACAGAACCCCTATGTGATAAGATTCTTATCTCCGCTTAATAACATGGAAACTGGGGCTCAGGGAGCAGTCTCACCGCGACAGAGCTGGGATCCTCCCCCAGGTCCTTGTGACCACTGTTTTGCCGCAATTGGGGAAAGCTGGTAGGTGGGGGTGCCCCACGCCAACCAGGAGGCAGGACGTCTCTGACTTGCGGACCTGCTCTTGGAGACTGGCCTGCCTTGTTCCCTGGCCTGGAGCCCGTGAAGGGCCAACCCGCAGAACCCAAATGTCCACGGGCAGAGGCCTTCCCGAGGAGACCCCACGCGAGGCCTGACTCCCTGCTCCAGGTCCTCCTCCGACTTGGCTAGCACACAGGGCTTCCCAGACAGACTGCCCAGGACCTTCTCAGAGCTGGGAGAGCCCCAGGTGCCCACCTTGGAGCACTGCACCAGCTGGGAGGCTGCTCCCAGGACAGGTATGGCTGCCCGCATGGCCTGCCCTCTCAGGAGGGGTCCTGGTGGCTCCACGCTCAGCCCCGGCCTGCTGGTCAACCTGACCAATGACCAACCTGCCCAGAGGGGCTGCACAGAGATGAGGGCTTAGAGGGGACTGACCTAACTGCTGTCAATTCTACAAGTTCTAGAACCATCTGCAGACTAAATATGACCTGTGAGTTTTTGAGCCTCTTAGGTAACAGTAACATTTAATGTGCAAGATATTAAAAATAGTATTACCACCAACCCTGTCTTTGCTTTTTAAATGTGTTTATGTGTGTGTATATATATATATACAGGGACCAGAAGTTGGCATAATGGCTATGTCGCTGAACTCCCACGTAGTCGACCACAGTTGGAGTCCCAGGCCCGCTGGCTTAAACTTACGCCAGGCGCGTGTGCGTGCGTGCCCAAGATCCCGAGAGGAGAAGAGAGGAGAAGGGATTGTGGCGTGGCCATAACCCCTGGGCAGTGATTTGTGTTAACATGACTCCATCTACTATATTTGCATCTACTTTACACCAAACGCACTTTTTAATTCTGAAAGCAACCCTGTGAGGCTGGAATGAGCCCCATTTTACTTTGCAGATAAAGACATGGAGGCTCAGAGAGGTTAGTACAATGCTCAAGGTCACACAGCACTAAAACAGCAGAGCTAAAGTGCAAATAAAGCAGGTCTGACCAGCTCCAAAGGCTGGCTTAAGCCCCCATCAGCACAAAACTGCGAGAGTGTCTCTGGCCTGCGTGCACTGTGCCCAGGGGAGGTGCCGTATTACAGAACAGAATAACACCAGCCTCCTGGGGTACGGCCAGGGGGACGCGGAAAGACCCGGGGGTCCTGAGCCCAGGCCCCTCCGTAGCTCGTTAGCTGTGTGGACTTGGGCGAGTCTCGGCCTCACTGGAGCCCGGCTTCGTCCCCTAAGGGAGGCGCAGTGGCGGGGTTAGCGGAGGACCCAGCACCGGCCGGGTTCTGCCTTCGCAGTGCTCACTGCCTCCCTCTGCACCGCCCAGTCCTGGCTCCGTCCTGCCAAACCTCTTCTGCCCACCTTCCCCATAACCGCCCTCTGAAAGCAAGAATAAGGAGGACTCACGGAAAAAGGGTCTTTTTTGGCACTTTGATGGGCTCGTTTGGATCGTAATAACCGGGTCCTGGGCCGGTTGATGTCAGTTTTAATCCACGGTCAGTTTTCGATTTAAAACAAGACATTAGTGCTTTCGGTGACTGCTTCACGAGGGACTCGTTGACATTGTAATACCCTAAGCAGAAAGAAGTGGAAAAGAGAGTAAGGACGTCATCTCAAATGAAGAAGAAGTACCATTTTGGGGTCAGCAGGTGGCATGGTGGTTAAGGTCCTGGACTCCCACATGGCCAGCATCTGTGGTTCGAGTCCTGGACCTGGCATCTTAAGACACACTGGGTAAGTGTGTGTGCGTGCCCAAAATCCCAGGAGGAGACTAGAAGAGAAGAGATTGCAGCATGGCCATTCCCCTGGGGGGTGATTTCTCGCTTTCCTTCTCACTGTCTCTCTGTCTTTCTCTGGCCAATGCACGCCCCCTACGGCAAAAACCTAAAAAGATAAAAATATCTTCGACCTCAGAATGTGTTTAATTCTCACCGCAGGACGGTGGAGGGGGGGCGCTGCCTGAAGTCACTAGAAATAACCCTCCCTAGTCAGGGAGCAGGCGCAGACCGTCACACGCTTCGCTCATTCGCCCTCCACAACAGCCCGGCAAGATGGATGTTGTCGCTCCGTTCTGAACTCGAGGGGACTGAGGCTCAGAGAGTCTACATGACGTCGGGGACTTGGACAAGCTCTCAGCCTTGCTGCAGCCCAGCTTCCTCCTCTCATTCTCCCCACAATGGGTCACTGTCATCCTACCTCGGGGTCCTGGCTCCTGTGGCTGCACTGTAACCCTCTGCTTTCCACATGGCTCACTGGGCACCACTGTGTGGAGACAAGCCCGCCTGCCTCTGAAGCCCCTGCTTCCCCACCGTGCCACAGAGACTGAGAGAGAGAGAGAAAGAGAGGAATCCCCCCCCCAGGAGGTGCTCACACCACAATCCCTTCTCTTCCAAGGATTTTGGGCACACAAGCACACATGCCCAGTGTGATTTTCAAGCCACTGGGTCTGGAACTTAAATGACAGTCAGTCCTGTGAGATCCCGTACCTACCTGCTGGCCCACTGCAAAGATTTTTAATAACATGAAAGATGACCCTAATATATACTTTAGCTGTAGGGTGCGTGTGCTTGCCAGAGAGACAGAAAGTGAGAAATCACCCCCTACAGGGGATGGCCACACCAGAGTCCCTTCTCTTCCATTCTCCTCTTGGGATTTTGGGCATGTACACACATGCACCCAGCTTGAGTTTTAAGCCACTGGGTTCAGGACTCGAACCATGGTCAACTACATGGGAGTCCAGCAACATAACCATTATGTCCCTACTATATACTTCAATTTTTCAGAAGTAGCACAATATTGGCTTTATGTCCCATCTTTCTATTTTTCTCTTACACATATATACACATATATCTGTGTGTGTGTGTCTGTGTGTCTGTGTGTGTGTGTGTGTATATATAGATCTACAGTTACAAAAAGAGGTTAAAACAACTTTTGAATTTCAACATGTGGAAGAAACTGAAAATCTAAAATAATAGGCATTCATCATTCATGCTCCGACCACCCAGAAGGGCCCACCTGCCAGGAAGGCAGGAGGATGATGGGGGTGATCTGAAGGGACCAGGGGGTGGGCCTGGAGGGGCCTGGCCTCAAAGCCAGCTGTGGGGCCCTCACCTAGTCACCTACTTCCCATGTATCAGTTTTGCCTGTAAAACGGGCATAAAACTATAATGGTCTCTGCTTTTGAGCACGGGATTATGTGCTGAGCACACGCCCCATGGGGCTTTGGAGGGTTCGAGGGGATGAAGACCCGAAAGTCCCGGCCTGCAGGTGTGTGTACCACAGGCTAGGCCTGCCTGTCTCTGCCCTGCGTGTCACAGGGCTGGGGTATCTCGGCACCTCCCGGCAGGGAGCAGCCATGTGGCTGGCTGTGGGTGCCCACATGCAGGGCTCACTGGCAAGGACCTGCCATCCCCCAGGGATGCCTGCTGTGTTCCTCTGCACAAACAAACAGGGCGGGGTTTGCCCAGGGATGATGCAAGACAGGGGAGCCGAGCCAGAGCCGGGCTGAGCCTCCTAATTAGCTTTGGTTTTGTTACTCAGCTCCAAACCGACCTCTTCCACTTCAAGCTGGATTTGCTGAAATCTGACATGGGCTCTGATTTCATCCACACCCCCGCAAGGGGCCCCGAGCTCTGCGCTAACCCTCTGTGCTCTCCCTGCCCCGCCTGGTTCCGGCCGAGGCTCCCCTCCCCGGGGTCTGCAGGCCCCATCTGGGATGATCTAACATGAGGAGCACTCCGGGGTTGGCAGAGAGCAGAGTGGAGGTGCGGCCCCTTTCCCAAGCACAGCGGGGCGACCCGTGCAGACAAGTATCCCTGGGTCTGAGGTTCTGGAAGGCACAGCGGATTGATGGGAAGAGGGCTCCTTGGACACACAACTCTGGGCCGAGGTTGGGCATTCACTGCCACGTGACACAGGACAAGTCCACTTGACTCTGCGTGCCCGTGTCCTCTTCCGAAAAACAGGGCCATGCACACGACCTGGGAGGACAGGCCTGTGGGAACTGCATGGAAAACACTTGGGGTGGGTGGCAGCACACAGCTAGTACTGTCACCGGATGACCAGTGAGGCCCCCTCAGGATAGCGGGGGAGGAAGGTTGCAGCTGAGTGGGAGGGTGGGGAGAGATGGCAGACCCTCTGCCTCCCCCGTCCGGCGGCCCACAGTGCACCTGGGCAGGTGAATTTGCACACTTCCTAGGTAAGAAGCCACGTCCCCACCTGCTGCCTAGAATGTGTGTGTCTGGTCACAGGGGGAGGCCGAGAGGCTGCTCTGGAGTCCACTGTACCCGGGAGGAGAGCTGGTCCTGCCGCCCTCCTCCTCCTCCTCCCGACCCCCAAACTCCTTCCACAGTCTCCCTGCAAATTCAGTCTGGGATGTCGACCCCTAGGGCGGGGTCAGTGCAAGGCAGCTGCTTACCTGGGGCAGGTCCCTTGTCGGCGACCGTGAAAAGTCCTCTCTGGGTCTTTGACGTGAAGCCGGCTCGGGCACAGACGTTGTTTTTCTGCTTGCAGCAGGAGACAGAAGCCTGTGTGTGGGGAGATGTGCTCGATGCAGCATGCTTTTCCCTTTCTGTCTTTGGCATGGTGCCTGGACAGGTGGCAACTGTGTGGGAAGCTCCCACCTAAACCTATTCTTCTTAGAAAGTGAAAGGACGGGGCCAGCAGGCGGCCTAGTGGTTAAGGTGCTGGATTCCCATGTGGTTCAAGTCCCAGACCCGGTGGCCGGGTGCACGTGCATATGTGCATAAGAGGAGAAAATCCCAAGAGGAGACTGGAGGAGAAGGGACTGTGGTGTGGCCATTCCCTGGGGAGGATAATTTCTCACTTTCTCTCTGTCTCTCCAGTGAGTGCACGTGCCCTACAGCAAAAACCTCTAAAAAAAAAATAAAAAAGAAAAGAAAGAAAAAGAAAAAGAAAGGACATAGTCAACAAGGTATGTGGCACCCCCTCAGCCCAGCTCGGGTCTTCTAAGAGTCTGCGATCTCGGCGTGAGGTGTGCGAGCACCCAGGACAGACAGCCTGTAGGCCTGCTTCCTGGTCAGCTCTGCCAAGGACAGGTCCCAAGGTCCGCCACAGCTCAGACTCTCTGAACCTGCGTTTTCTCATCTGTAAGACAGGGCAGGTGAGCTCTGCTTTACCTGTTTAAGAGTATTTTTGAGGATAAGGAATGGTCAATAAAAAACATCTAGGGACCAGCAGTTGGCATAATGGCTATGTCGCTGGACTCCCATGTAGTTGACTGCAGTTCGAGTCCTGGACCCAGTGGCTTAAACTCACGCCAGGCGTGTGTGTGTGTGTGTGTGTGCATGTCCAAGATACTGAGAGGAGAATAGAGAAGGGACTGTGGCGTGGGCCATTTCCCCTGGGGGTAATTTCTTGCTTTCTATCTCTCTGTCTCTCTCTTTCTGGCAAGTGCACATGCCCTATAGCAAAAACCTCTCAAAAAGAAAAACAAACAAAAAACCCCACCTATGAGAAAATAAGGCTTTTAAAAGCGTGTAATGGGATGGGGACCAGCAGATGGTGTAATGGTTACGTCGCTGGACACCCACATAGTTGACCATGGTTTGAGTCCTGGACCTGGCAGCTTAAAACTCGCCAGACTCATATGCATGCATGCCCAGAATCCCTAGAAGAGAATGGAGGAGAAGGGAAGGCGGCATAGCCATCCTCTCGGGGTGTGATTTCTCTTTGTCTTTCTCTATCTCTCAGGTGAACACACAGGCCCTATAGGAAAATTCTCTCAAAAAAAATTTTAAGAAGTGTGTAATGGGGGACCAATAGGTGGTATAGTGGTTATGGTGCTGGACTCCCACATGGTCGACTACAGTTTGAGTCCTGGACCCAGTGGCTTGAAAATCACACTGGGAGCATGAGCACACATGCCCAAAATCCTGAGAGGAGGCCAGAGGAAAAGGGATTGCGGCATGGTCATACCCATGGGGGGTGATTTCTCACTACCCCTGTCTCTATTTTTCTCTGTCTCTCTCCAGTGAGAGCAAGCACCCTAAAGAGGAGGGGGGCTTAAAAAATAATTTTTAAAAAATGAAAATATTTTTTGTTACTTTTTTTTTTTTTCCTTTTAAAGATACATAGTACTACCCCTACCCCAGTCCCTATGGGCATCCTCCGCTGCTCAAATGGCCCTACGCACACAGGATCTGGGGCCCACGAGAGAACTACGTCATGGGAGATTGCGGCCCGATCTGTAAGCACGCCTTTGCCTCAGCTTCCCCGGACTGACTAGAAACGAAGAACTGTGGCCAGTCTATGGAGTATGCATTTGAGAGAGTCTGACGGTGCTAGAACTCTAAAACTAACAGAGAAAAGAAAACAAAACTGAGATCATCCTTCTGTTACGCATGAATCATAAATATTTTAAATGCCAATTTGCAGCCAGTCTCCTGTATTTGTTAAATAACAGGTGCAATAAAAATTGTAACAGCGGTCGCTGGGAATATTTACTGAATGAGTGAAACTATTTGCTGGGGCCAGGATGGTTTGATTTTCTGTGATACTCTTTTGTCAAAAAAAAAAAAAAAGTTTCTCAAGAAATGCAGATGGCATTTTGATTTTGTGTTTACAAAGGTGGAGGAATTCAGCTTTTCCCGGGGTCCTAATGGCTGGACTACACGCAGAGAGGACAGACAAGAAGGCCAGGTGGGCCAGGCTAACTACTGGACGGAGCCTCGCTGCCGGAGCGGAGCAGGAACAACACAGAACCAAGGAGAGGGCTGGCTGCAGGAGTGGGGGTCGGGCAAGGCGGAGCAGGGCCTGACAGCCTGGAGGCACAGTGTGGCTAACAGGATTATGGCAGTTCCACTCCTCACCAGTGACTCGACCATTGTCCTCCTGGTCTGAAAAAGCCTCCTGCAGACAAAACACTGCTTCAGCTTTATTCTTCTCCCAGACAGAAAAGCAACTGGAAAAGGGCGTGTGCAACCCGGGAAGAGCTCACTGGTAGACTAGGAAAATATGCAACAGGCGGCCGGAGAACGCGCCTTCCTGTCCCGCCGTGGCAAGCAATCCACGGTGCAGAGGAAGAAAACGAAGGGGTACCGCGTGCAGCAGAGTCTGATACGGGGGGAGTGATGAAGGCAAGGAGAGAACGCCAAAGAAAAAGTGTCTTTTTAAAAAAGTTTATTTATTGCGCCAGTAGGTGGTGTGGTAGTTAAGGTGCTGGACTCTCACATGGCCAACTGCAAGGTCAAGGTTCGAGCCCCGGACTTGGCAGGTTCAAAGTCAAGCCAGGTGCGTGTGCGTGCGTGCCCAAAATCCCAAGAGAAGAATGGAGGAGAAGGGACTGTGGCGGCCATCCTCCCTGGCAAGGGGGAAAGGGATTTCTCACTTTCCCTCTCTGCCTCTCTCCAGTGAGTGCACACATGCTATGGCAAAAAACTTAAAAAAAAAAGAAGAAAAAGTTTCTTTCCTTTGAGAGAGAGACCCTCAACAGGGTCTCACGCCATGACCCTCGCCTAGCCTTCCCAGCCAGCCAGGACCAGTGGCACACACACACATACCCTGCATGCCCAGGCCGGCCCAGGAACCAAACCTCGATCCTCCCTACCGCTCCAGCACCGTGGAGGGGCACTACCTGGGCTTCGCTTGTGGCTTGCTATGCGGGCAAATCTCCTACAGGGGACTGCCACTGTGTAGCTCATGGCTTCCACAATGCGGGAATACATTTTACTAGAGGCATACTAAAATAATAACAAACAGAAAACATGCACCTAAAATTGATCTATCAGCAGAAGGACAAAATTCTGCCAACAGATTAGCATTAGGAAATGGTCTTTTCTAGACTGACGATTATTCAAAGGGTCTTCAAAAAGTCTGTGGAAACGGCAGGTTATCTCAAAAGAAAAAAAAGAGCCATGCATGGATTCCAATTTTTGCATCCAAATACACTTTTTGCATCCAAATAATTCCATTATTCCGGGAACTTTTTGAAGTGCCCTGTATCCCACTCAGGCGTTGCTCCTCTGATGTCATGAACCTCCCCTGCCTGCCCCCACTCCAGGGCCTGTGCTGGCACTGGGGAAGGAGCAGGCCCGAGGCAGACACAGGGAAGCCTAACCACACCCTTGGCCCCAAGACAGAGGGGTGTTCCCAGGGCCACAAAACCTGCGTGTGCCTTCCAAGTCATCGTCTCTCCTGAGTGACTGTGGTGCAGCGGCCACGCTCCCTCATCACTGCTTTCTGAAACGACGCTGCCCTGCCTCCTGTTAGCATGTCTCCTTGTGGGTCTTCCAGAACTTTCTCTTAGCCCAAGCTGTGATCCACTCTCCACACCACAACTAGAAGGAGCTTCCTAAAAAGTACAACAGAACACGGCACCCCACATCTCCCACCCCCTCACGGGCTTCCCAGTGCACGGAGAAGGGAATCCCGGCTCTCTCCTGGGGTCTTCGGCCTACCTGTCTGTGTCCCCGCACCCATGTCCCCGTCCCGGCTTCCGCTCCTCTAGCCATTCTCTGCCCGCACCCACGTCCCCGTCCCAGCTCCCACTAGTCCAGCCATTCGGCCTTCCGACATTTTCTTGAGGACCCTCTGCTGCCTCAGGACCTCTGCTCATGCTGTTTCCCCCTTTGATCCTTGGGTCTCGGCCTTGGAGCCCTCTCTGGCCCCCAGTCTAAAGTACAGGTAAATCCCCACCCCCCACATTCTCCCTCAGGCCCCCACTGTTCATCTCCCTCAAGACTAAAGATGGCTTCTAATTACTTTGTCTCTCCCCTTACAGTTTCGGAGTCCCCACTGCATCAAAGTCATATTGCCAGCCTGGGGGCAGCAGCGGGACCGTGAGCCTGGCGGGGATGGACAGGGTGACCGATGCTGTCCAGCTTTCGGTCCCAGCCATCTGCCACTGTGCCCACCAATGTGCAAACGGGGCCTCTGGGCTGAGTGACTCTGGGCCAGACTCCACCCCTCGCGCCTCAGCGCCCTCTTCTGTCAACTGGGAGTAAGACCCTCCACGCTGGGGCCTGCGGTGGCAGGGTGACGGGGCGGCGGACTCCCATGGGGACGAAGTCCCGGACCTTTCTCACTTCTCTCTGGTGAGCGCCATGCCCTGTAGTTGGTTACAAAAGTGATGGTGATGATGATGAATAAAACTGAATAAAGAAGCCTTTTTAGAAAAGATCACCCACTTCTACGTCACAGGTCCTGTGAGCAGTGAGGACGAGGCCAGCGCTGCTTCATCCCCGCTGTGATTTCAGGCGCTGGACTCCCAGGGAAGGTACCTAGACCGGGCCCACAATACGGGAGCCCCAGGGCACACGCGGCTGTCGCCCTGTGGCCGGCCCCAGGTAACGAGGACTGTGCGGACAAAATACACACTGGGCGGTAAAGACTTAGCACAGGCAAAGCACCCTTCTAAAATGTCCACTTAATCATTTTTATCATCTGTATATAGAAATGATGAATATTTTTTATTTACTGGGCTAAATAAAGTACATTATTACAGTTGCTTTCAGGCCAGCTACAGTGGCGTGAGTGGCAGGGCGCTGCTGCCTGACACGGGAGCCCCTGGGAGGCCGGGCTGTGGGTCCCGGCTCCACCTGAACTCACCGGGCACGCCTGAGTACCCCGGGGAGGCTGTAGGGACGGCCAGGTTGTGGCCAGGCCCCACCTTGGGCACTTCACTCTCTCTCATAAAAGAAATAAGTTTTAGGGACCAGCAGTTAGCGTAACGGCTATGTCGCTGGACTCCCACATAGTCGACTGCAGTTCACGTCCCGGACCCGGTGGCTTAAAACTCATGCCAGGCGCGTGTATGTGTGTGCCCAAGATCCTGAGAGGAGAATGGAGGAGAAGGGATTGCGGTGTGACCATCCCCCCTGGGGGGTGATTTCTCGCTTTCTGTCTCTATGTCTCTTGGCACTGGGGAAGGAGCAGGCCCGAGGCAGACACAGGGAAGCCTAACCACACCCTTGGCCCCAAGACAGAGGGGTGTTCCCAGGGCCACAAAACCTGCGTGTGCCTTCCAAGTCATCGTCTCTCCTGAGTGACTGTGGTGCAGCGGCCACGCTCCCTCATCACTGCTTTCTGAAACGACGCTGCCCTGCCTCCTGTTAGCATGTCTCCTTGTGGGTCTTCCAGAACTTTCTCTTAGCCCAAGCTGTGATCCACTCTCCACACCACAACTAGAAGGAGCTTCCTAAAAAGTACAACAGAACACGGCACCCCACATCTCCCACCCCCTCACGGGCTTCCCAGTGCACGGAGAAGGGAATCCCGGCTCTCTCCTGGGGTCTTCGGCCTACCTGTCTGTGTCCCCGCACCCATGTCCCCGTCCCGGCTTCCGCTCCTCTAGCCATTCTCTGCCCGCACCCACGTCCCCGTCCCAGCTCCCACTAGTCCAGCCATTCGGCCTTCCGACATTTTCTTGAGGACCCTCTGCTGCCTCAGGACCTCTGCTCATGCTGTTTCCCCCTTTGATCCTTGGGTCTCGGCCTTGGAGCCCTCTCTGGCCCCCAGTCTAAAGTACAGGTAAATCCCCACCCCCCACATTCTCCCTCAGGCCCCCACTGTTCATCTCCCTCAAGACTAAAGATGGCTTCTAATTACTTTGTCTCTCCCCTTACAGTTTCGGAGTCCCCACTGCATCAAAGTCATATTGCCAGCCTGGGGGCAGCAGCGGGACCGTGAGCCTGGCGGGGATGGACAGGGTGACCGATGCTGTCCAGCTTTCGGTCCCAGCCATCTGCCACTGTGCCCACCAATGTGCAAACGGGGCCTCTGGGCTGAGTGACTCTGGGCCAGACTCCACCCCTCGCGCCTCAGCGCCCTCTTCTGTCAACTGGGAGTAAGACCCTCCACGCTGGGGCCTGCGGTGGCAGGGTGACAGGGCGGCGGACTCCCATGGGGACGAAGTCCCGGACCTTTCTCACTTCTCTCTGGTGAGCGCCATGCCCTGTAGTTGGTTACAAAAGTGATGGTGATGATGATGAATAAAACTGAATAAAGAAGCCTTTTTAGAAAAGATCACCCACTTCTACGTCACAGGTCCTGTGAGCAGTGAGGACGAGGCCAGCGCTGCTTCATCCCCGCTGTGATTTCAGGCGCTGGACTCCCAGGGAAGGTACCTAGACCGGGCCCACAATACGGGAGCCCCAGGGCACACGCGGCTGTCGCCCTGTGGCCGGCCCCAGGTAACGAGGACTGTGCGGACAAAATACACACTGGGCGGTAAAGACTTAGCACAGGCAAAGCACCCTTCTAAAATGTCCACTTAATCATTTTTATCATCTGTATATAGAAATGATGAATATTTTTTATTTACTGGGCTAAATAAAGTACATTATTACAGTTGCTTTCAGGCCAGCTACAGTGGCGTGAGTGGCAGGGCGCTGCTGCCTGACACGGGAGCCCCTGGGAGGCCGGGCTGTGGGTCCCGGCTCCACCTGAACTCACCGGGCACGCCTGAGTACCCCGGGGAGGCTGTAGGGACGGCCAGGTTGTGGCCAGGCCCCACCTTGGGCACTTCACTCTCTCTCATAAAAGAAATAAGTTTTAGGGACCAGCAGTTAGCGTAACGGCTATGTCGCTGGACTCCCACATAGTCGACTGCAGTTCACGTCCCGGACCCGGTGGCTTAAAACTCATGCCAGGCGCGTGTATGTGTGTGCCCAAGATCCTGAGAGGAGAATGGAGGAGAAGGGATTGCGGTGTGACCATCCCCCCTGGGGGGTGATTTCTCGCTTTCTGTCTCTATGTCTCTCTCTGTCTGTCTGGCGAGCACACGTGTCCTGTAGCGAAAAACCTCTCCAAAAAAAAAAAAATTAAAAAAAAAGAAAGAAGTTTTAAAAAAATGAATTTTTAAAAAAGGAATTGCTCCTTTTTTAAGAATTATTCATTCAATTTTATTATTATTATTATTATTTTCTTAATTTGATATAGGGCACTTGTGCTCACCAGAGAGAGACAAAGAGACAGAGAGAGAGAGGGAAAGTGAGAACGTAAGCCACCAGGTCTGGAACTCGAACCACGGGCAGCCATGTGGGAGTCTAGCGCCTTAACTACCATGCCACCTGCTGGTTCCGCCTCTTTGCTTTTCAAATGCGGTGACTAGATAATTTAGTATAAACAGGTAGCGCCCATCCTGTTTCTGTACGATGCTGGCCTAGCAGACACTTCTGCTTTGGGCACATCACAATTACCTGAAGGTGGGCAGGATCTGTGTAGTCAGAATAAATCCTAATACTGACAGCTGTTATCAAAGAAAAGCTGAAATGAAGTATTTTTGTTTTACTGTGGTTTTGCTTGTGTTTTACTGCCAGGGGGCACATGAGCTTGCTGGAGACGCAGAGAGGGACTGTGAGGAAGCACCCCAGGGGCTTGGCCACCCCGCAATCTCTTCTCCATTCTTCTTTCAGGATTTCGGGCACACACAAAATGTTCAAGCCGCTGGGCCCTGGGACTCGGATCATGCGGTTGCCTGTGTGGAACCCAGCTGCCTGCAACTCCATGCCATCTGGTGCCCCGAAATGAAGTACGCTAAGACCAAACGCGTCTGAGCTAGGTCCTAACAGCCCGGAGAGCCTATCTGCGGCCCGCATCTGCTGCGGTCCCGAACGCTCTCGCACGTGGTCTCGTGTGCTTCCTAGAGTAAGCCCGCAGGACGACATCATCAGCCCCACGTAGCCGTCACGCTCCAGGGGGAAGTGATCTGCCCAGTCCTGTGCGGTGAGTCCTGGCCGGTCCGGGCTAAGTCCCCAGCACAGGTGACCTCACTGAATATCTGCCCAACTCCACGAGGGGGACATGTGTTCCCGTCACACAGATCAACGAACAAAGTCCTCCCAAGGTGCAGGGACGTGGGACAGCCAGGCAGTTAGAAAGTGGCAGAGTCGGGACTCGAACCAGACTGTGCTGACTGAGTCACTCAACCATTCCATCCCACACACCATCCCTTCCCGTGCACGACAGGCCAAACACTACTGTCAACAAACAGAATTCCACATATGGGGAGAGAAATGTATTTTCCCTCGAAGAACCTAAAAAGGCAGGGCTGCCCTGGCTCAGTGGTTAAGGGAGCCAGATCTCACATGGCCAGCCACAGCTCAAATCCCAGCCCCACCAGCCAGGTACATGTGTGTGTGCCCCAAACCCCGACAGGATGGAGAAATGGAGAAGGGATCGCAAAGTGGCCATGCCTACAGGGTGCCTTCTCCCTCTCTCTGCCTCTCTCTAATGCCCTTCATAAAAAAAGATAAAAGAGAGAGAGAGAGAGAAAGAAAAGAAAAAGAAAACCCTAAAAAGTAATGGATGGGTCTGAGGATGCTGTTGCAGACCAGAAAGGCTGTGTGGCAGCAGGAGCGGCTGTGCTCTGGGCTGTGGTCCCCCCACTGCTCCGTGTCCCCTCCTGTCACTCACGTGGCTCTTAGGTTTTGCAAATTCCCCACAGAGTCCTGGCAGCCATATGCAGGCCCTGGCTAGTAAGCAAACGCTATCTGGTTACTGACTGCATTTTTTACATTTCGTTTTTATTATTTACGTATTTATTTTTAGGTTTTCGCCATAGAATGCACACACTCGCTAGAGAGAGACAGAGATAAGGAAGAAAGAGAAATCACCCCCCAGGGGGATGACCACGCCACACTCGCTTCTCCTCCATCCTCCTCTCAGGGTTTTGGGCACGCCCGCACCTGCACCACACGTGATTTTCAAGCCACCAGGTCTAGGCCTCCTACTGCACCGGGCCGTGCTGCCTGCCGGCCCCACCAATTGCAGTAAAATGCCACTTCCCACTGCCTCTCCCCTCGATTTTAGTAACATACATTCAGCATCTGCAATGTTCTTACGTTGTAACGATTTGGTGCAGGAGTCTCAAATTTGCAGCCCAGAAGGGCGGTGTGGCAGCAGGAGCGGCTGTGCTCGGGGCTGTGGTCCCCCCACTGCTCCGTGTCCCCTCCTGTCACTCACGTGGCTCTTAGGTTTTGCAAATTCCCCACAGAGTCCTGGCAGCCATATGCAGGCCCTGGCTAGTAAGCAAACGCTATCTGGTTACTGACTGCATTTTTTACATTTCGTTTTTATTATTTACGTATTTATTTTTAGGTTTTCGCCATAGAATGCACACACTCGCTAGAGAGAGACAGAGATAAGGAAGAAAGAGAAATCACCCCCCAGGGGGATGACCACGCCACACTCGCTTCTCCTCCATCCTCCTCTCAGGGTTTTGGGCACGCCCGCACCTGCACCACACGTGATTTTCAAGCCACCAGGTCTAGGCCTCCTACTGCACCGGGCCGTGCTGCCTGCCGGCCCCACCAATTGCAGTAAAATGCCACTTCCCACTGCCTCTCCCCTCGATTTTAGTAACATACATTCAGCATCTGCAATGTTCTTACGTTGTAACGATTTGGTGCAGGAGTCTCAAATTTGAGAACTTTCGTGAAGCTTGGCAACTGGAACATACTGGAACAGGAATTGCTGAAGTCTTTCTTGGAATTGAAGGCTGATGGGATGGTGTACGCGTTTGCCGCCGGGTATTTAGAAATGAGGGTGTCCCACCGGGAGCGCTGTGGGCGAGACCAAACCAATCGGCATCGTCACGTCACCCTGTGGCTCTGAGGGACAGATGTCAAAAAGACGGTGCCCAGCACAGGTCCAGAGCCACTTCATGAACGTGGAAACTCCCGGAGGTAACAGTGATAAACTGACCTTGGGCTCTGGGGATTTACTCTCAGAGACTGCAAGTTTGGACCTGCTGTACCTTCTGTAAACTAACTCGAATGATTCACCTTGTGTTTGAGACATGGCTGAAGCAATTTTGCCAGAAATGCACTTCCACCCAATCCTTTTCCAGGCCACGTACGATAGAGCCATCAGCGTTGGGTGCGTGTGTGCTGGGGCATTTCCCCAGCCAAGGCTTTCCTTCTCAGTGAGCCCTCACATGTGTTTTCTAAGGTGGGTGGTCTGAACAGCCTAAACAGCCAGCTTGCCTCAAACAGCTTCAGGATATGAGGTTCCAATGGCCTCACCCCACCTACATCCTACACCCCACATGGTCCCGTAGGGTTTCATAAAACTCTACCATGATTTCGCTGTTTCTACAGAACCAATTCCACTCCTTTCAGGAAGCCATGATAAACTATTTTCAGCTAAAAAACAAACAGAATCGATGTTTGCCAAACGAACAGGGACAAAAGCCACAGAAACTCAGCGATAACATCACTTTACCCAAGGAGAGCCAGGCAGGTATTAGAGTCTGATAAAGCCAAACAACCAAAAAAAAAAAGATCTCATTATTTTATTTTATGATGAAAAGCTTGAGAACATTGCCCTGGGTTTTCTCCACTTGACAGGGGTCAATAACCACAGAGGGACAGAACACGGGGGAGGTGAGGGACGGTGCCAGGACCCACTCCACACTGCACTCTGCTTGGTGGGACGGTCCCAGCGCCTCGCTTCTGGGGCATGTGGTGGGCGCGCCACCAGAAGCAGGAGGGTCCTTGTCTGGAGCCCATGTTGTTCAGAGCCTGACCTGGGTTCGAGTCCCAGCTCTGCTCCTTTCATTGTAAGGGTGTCCTGGGCTGTCCATTGAACCCTTGTAACAGCGTGGAGCAGTGGGGATCCCGAGTACCCTCCCTTCACGTGAAAACACTGAATTTCCTCGTGACTGCAGTGCTGGGACTGACATGTCACCGAGGCAGTGTGACAGGGATTGGACATCCCCATCTGAAGAGGACTGCGTGGAGAGGCGCGGCCCTGAGAGCACACTGCATTAATCACGGACTCCCTTTCGGCTTAGCACACCTATCAACACCACATTCTAGGAAAAATGGTTCTGAACAATCCCCAGCAGAGGCCAAGTTGCATCCAGTGTGGTAACAGATCCCTCTGGGCCGGAGCTAGCCGCACTCTGACGCCCTCGCCCTCGGGCCGGGCCACCTGCAGTCCATGGGCCCCAGTTCTCAGCTTTCCCAGAGCCACTCCCTGCTACCCTCCAGCAAACAGAAAGGGGCCATCAAAGCCTCTCCCAGCCTGCCTCGCCTGCCTTCCTAGTCAGTCCTGTGAAAAACTCCAGAGCAGATATTTGAACTATATTGGGACCAGCAGGCGACATATAGCTAAGGCGCTAGACTCCCATATGGCCGACCATGGTTGAAGTCCTGGACCTGGTGGCTTGAAAATCATGCTGGCATGTATGTGTGTGAGTGTGCTCAAAATCCCAGGAGAAGAATGGAGGAGAAGGCATTACAGCATGGCCATCTCCCGGGGGGTAATTTCTCAATTTCCATGTCTCTGTCCCTGTCTCTCTCCAGCGAGTGCGTGTGCCCTATGGCAAAAGCTTCAAAAAAGAAAACAAAAAGACTTGAAATATATTAATGAACCTCTTTATGTCATTTGGACTTAGCGAGATGACAGGTCCTCTCAAAAGGCTGGGTGTAGCTGTCCCAACTGTCATCAGGAAGTGTCTACAATTTACGGACCCACGGAGGATTTGGGGCAGCCTCACCCATAATCTCACTCCCTCTGGTTGTTCTGATCTTTCTGACGAGGGCTACTTTACGTTCCCTCAGTCCTGGGAGCCAGGAGAGATGGTAATGCAGGTCACGAAAGAGGTGGAATCCTGAAATGCTCGCCCAGCTCAGAAAGAACTAGGTTAGGGAACCAGCAGTTAGCGTACTGGCTATGTCGCTGGACTCCCACGTAGTCGACCGCGGTTCGTGTCCCGGACCCGGTGGCTTAAAACTCACGCCGGGCGCGTGTGCGTGCGTGCCCAAGATCCCGAGAGGAGAATGGAGGAGAAGGGATTGCGGCGTGACCATCCCCCCTGGGGGGTGATTTCTCGCTTTCTGTCTCTATGTCTCTCTCTGTCTGTCTGGCGAGCACACAAGCCCTACAGTGAAAATCTCCCACCAACCAAAAAAAACAGCAAGTTAGACATGGGGCTCTCCCGGCAGAGCTCCGCCATCCACTGAGGGCCCCTGCCCAAGGATGCAGGCCCTTCGGAGGGTTAGGAACACACACGCAAGTTCCGAAACTATCAGAGCGCGGCAGCCCGACTGCCTCGATGCTTGCCTTCCTCGGGGCTTGGCTCTGAGCTCCCTGCAGCCCTGGGAGAATGACTAGGTTCCACGGTGTGCAGATCGTCCCGGCCTCTCCAACCTGCCCAGCTCCTCTGGAAAGTTACTCTGCATGAGGGAACCAGCAATTAGCATAATGGCTATGTTGCTGGACTCCCACATAGTCGACCACGGTTCGCGTCTCGGACCCGGTGGCTTAAACTCACGCCGGATGCATGTGCGCGCGTGCCTAAGATCCTGAGAGGAGAATGGAGGAGAAGGGACTGCGGCATGACCCCTGGGGGGGGATTTCTCGCTTTCTGTCTCTATGTCTCTCTCTCTGTCTGTCTGGCGAGCGCACGCACCCTATAGCGAAAACCTCTCAAAAACAAAAAAAGAAAGAAAGTTACTCTGCACGAAAAAGGATAGGGGCCTGGTGGTGTGTTCTGGTCCTGTCCCGCTTTGGCACCGAGAAGGAGTGGGCAGTGCTACTCTTTGGCAAAGAGGCTCTCGGGGAGAAATCCCAGGTGCTGCAGGAAGCCCTGTGAGTGACTCGGGCACCGGCCGCCACCAGGCTCAGCAAGTTTACGGTGCTCTGCCGCCTCCAAGGGCATTCGCTCACTGCAGCTGAGTGTGCCCAGGCCTCCAGGGAGTTTCCGCGTGGACGAGGCAGCTAGCACTCAGCAGGGTGACGTGCTTGAGGTCACGTCCAGAATCCACAGCTGAGTCAGGAGCAGGCCATAGTCCTGTCCCCTGTCCAGGGCACCATGAGACAGCACTTCTTTGCCAATTGCTTTTGACTCTTGCCTCACAGGGCTGGGGCAGAGAGACGGGTGGAGGCGGGGTGGATCTGAGAGCTCTCTGGGGCATACACAGCCTCCACTTCTTCGGCGATGGGGAGTTAACACCAAAGCTGGCTTGCTCCTTGAGTATCCAGGCCTGCCAAATGTGGACCTCAGTAAGGACCGACTGCACGGTGCACCTGCCGTGGCCCCTCTCTGTGGTTCAGGGACAAATCAGTTCTGACGTCAGGCCGTGCAGCACCTCTGTACTAAAGACTGCTGCAACCTCTAGGAGGGCAGGAGGAGTGTGTGCTTGCTAATGTCAGAACCGGGTTGGGGTTTGCTTTCCCTTTTCCCTTTTCCACCTCAGTTAGCCTCACCCCCGTTTAACTCTTTCCACTTGCTACGACTTTTTTTCCCATAGAGTACTTGTCCTTGCCCGAGAGAAAGAGAGACAGACAGAGAGAAGGAAGATGAGAAATTACTCCCCAGGGGGTTGGCCACGCCACAATCCTTTCTCCATTCTGCTCTCAGGATTCTGAGCTCACATGCATGCACACGTACCTGGCATGATTTTCAAGCCACCAGGCCTGGGACTTAAACTGGAGTCCAGCCCCTTAACCACCACTCCACCTGCTGGCCCCAGCTATAACTATCTTTCTTGCCAATTTATAAGGGAAAAAAAAAAACAAAAAACAAAAAAACGCTGTCCTGTCCAAGCCTGGTCAAGGTCCCTGGCAGCTTCTACAGCTACCGGATGGTCGGAGTGGCCAGCAACGTGAAGCCCACATCTGACAAGGACACGAGGGAGGTCACTGTGTCTCCCCACTGCCTGCTGGTTTTTGTTTTTAAATCAGATTTCTCGATAACTTGAACAATCTAATTAGACTAAGCAGTGTAAAATCATATTAGGATGAAAGTCCTAATACCTAGAAGTCTCAGAAGAAAGCGTTTGCTCAGTGTGCTTGGTGAAGACGAAATGGGTTTGGGACGCTCAGGTTCCTAATACTCTAGCTTCTGTCTCAGCTGGCAATGCTGCTGGTGGGAAAAGTGAGTCAGACAGGCTAGCGCACCTACACGCAATGTGAAGACGCAGCTAGTCTCCCACACAGAACCACAGGCCTTCGGAGAGAAGGGACCAGAGGCCCCCACAGCTGGTCAAGGGGGGGAGGGAGTGCTGGCCAGTCACCCCTTACTCATGAGCGGGACTCACCATGGAGGGGAAAGTGCATGTTCCTTTCTTGGACAATGAGACGCTTTTGGACACTGGAGACTGGTGGGTGACATCGTAGAACCCAGGGCCTGGGATGTCATCCTGAAAGGGAAGACAGCGAGGATCACTGGACATCCGGGCCTCCTGTGCTTTCCAGCCACTGATGCGAGGCCGCCCAAACTCAGGGCAGGTGCCACGCCGTGCCACGGTGGCAGCCGGGCGCCACCACTTCCTGCCTCGCCGTCTCCCCTCAGTCACCAAGCGGTGGGGCTGGGATTCCAGCCCAGGTCGGGCCTCCCAGAGCCCCGGCTCCCTCCAGCACGCCATGCTGCCTTCCACAGGAATGCTGTTGTTTTTCGACGTTATTAGAGGGATGAGCGTAAAATGGGCTACTAGACGTGGCGGAGGTGAGGCCGGCGTGTGCTGACTGGGTAGGCCAGGCCCACGGTACGGGAAGGGTGACCGGCTTCACGTTGACCACACCCACCTGACTCAGCCTCCTCCTCAGCCTTTCAGAGGAGAAACGAGGGCGTGTTTCTGTTTATAAAGCAAAATGAAACAAAAACCACCTTCGTCCCGAACGACCATTTCTAACTCGCAGGCACAAAGAGGCTAAGTGACGCGGGCTTGTCGGAGAGGGGACCAGGGCAGGGTCCTAAGCCCGTCCCAGCTGCAGCAGCACACGGCTTCCGCCTCGTTTCCCGTGCCAGTTACCAGGGGAAGCAAACGCTGGCAGGAGTGCCAAGCGAGAGGCGTGGCACGATAAGGATGCTCTGCCGTGAGGGCGTGCTGGGCCCACTTGGAGGCAGGAGCTTCTCAGCCGCTGCCTCGTGTTCGGGGGAAGGGATGGCTCTCCATCTTACGAGGGGAACATCGAGGCACGCATGGGGCTGGGCAGCCGCCCCGAGGGCGAGGGGTATGCCACCTCCTTTACCCCACAGCGCTTCCAGGGGGTGTTCTCGGGGCGCTTGCAGGAGCGCAAGGCCCGGAGCGGCTGGGTCCACAGCCCTGCTGAGAGCCCCCGGCTGGCGCGCCCGCGGGCTGGCTGCGGAGCGTGCTCTCCGTCCGGTCTCTGCCCAGGCTCGCCTTGTCTCCACGTCCCAGCCTGCTGCCCTCCTTCGGGCAGAGAGCGTGCCCACGGCACCACCAGTGCCCCCCCGGGTTTCCCCGTGGCTGGCAGCGTGTGGTTGTGGTTTCACAGGCCGGGTAGGGTGGCAGGTGCAACCAGCAGGTTTCTGAGCTGGTCTTTAAATGCGGTGATCCTCTGACCTCTGACCCCAGCCCCATGGCAAGCCGGCAGGTGGGGGCCCACGAGCTGATTCCTGCCCGGGGGTGGTATGATCCAGGTGACAGTGACAGAGGAGAGCTGATGGCCAGGGATAGTGTGACAGGAGGGAGGGCACGGCCGAGCCAGGCTCAGGGCACCCCAGGCCGAGGGCTCAGAACAGCCTGGTGGTGAGGGCGCACGGCAGGCTGCAGGAAGGATGGAGCAGCTTTTCCTGGGAGCCGTTGCTCTGAGATGGGCACTGTCCGGGGCTCATGGGCTCACTCATGAGAGCCCCATGTTAGGGACGAGCGGATGAGGCGGGACAGAAGACCCCAGGTCACCTGCCCCACCCAGACGAGCGACTGTGGGGGTCAGAGGAAGAGAAGGGCCCGAGAGCTGAGCCGGGCATTCTAGGGGCAGTGCCGCCACTCGCCAAGCAGCCCTGAGCACGTCGCCTCGCAGGGCTCAGCTTTGCCATTTGTAAGTCCAAGGTGTCGGGCCTTGGGGTGCTTTTGAGCTTCGGGACCCCTTAATCTTCGGAAAGGTGAAGCAGCAAGTGTAACTGTGACTTTTCCATATTTGAAAGCCCCTCCGGCCCCTGGGGTCCCACCACTCTCAACCTCGCCATCAGTTCACTGGAACTTCCTAAGCACCGAGTGCGTCTGGGGAGCCAGCGTTGCCAGATACCATACACGGCTGAATAGCGGCCCCGGCCCATGGTGTAGTGGTTAAGGCGCTGGACTCCCACGTGGCTGACCACAGTTCAAGTCCCAGACCTGGCATCTTGAATGTGCACGCATGCCCGAAATCCCAGAGGGGGACACAGGAGAAGGGACTGCGGCGTGGTCGTCCCCCCGTCCCTCTGCTCCTGTCTCTAGCAAGCACATGCGCCCTATAGCAAAATGTTTCTAAATATATAAATATATAGAATTGCAAGTAAACCGCCAAGAGCTCTCTTGGTACAAGTATACCCCGTGCAATATTTGGGACATGTAATACTAACACAGCTGTCACCTACCTGGAATTCCAATTTAACGTTTGTGTTTGCTAAACCTGACTACCTCCTGGCCTCCGCACGCAGGAACCATGCCACACAGCGAGCGGGCTAGGGCCGGGCCGAAGGGGGAAACTAGGCCCTGGAAGCCTGGAGGAATGAAGTACCACCCCATGCTCTCAGAAGACATCCATGGAGACCCACGGGATGCCGGCATGGCCAGGAGTAGATATGCAGACGTTTCCTCCTGCCATCCTGAGATTGGCCAGGGTTGGAGTATTTACACCACAGCAATAGGCAAACGCTGCCCCGGGACTTCTCCGTGAGGGGAAAGCCGGCCCCGGCCTGCCAGGCTGGATGCTATTCCTGCAGGCTCCTCTGCCTACCTCACAGGGGAGGGTTAGGCGAGTCTGTGCACAGGAAGAAGGTGGACCACCACCAATGCCGTCCCACTGCCCGCACAGCCTCGGTGGCCAGGACCCTCTTCGGAACGGAACTGTGAGAGGGAGGGTGACCAGCTGGTCTGTTCCCACCCCCAACAACGCACATTGGGGAGACATTGGTTGAAATCCACTTTGAGAATCTTTTGAAGGATGGAGGTTCTGGAGGGACACCCTGCACTGCCCAGAGAGGGACAATGACCACACCTGCTTGCCCTTGGAGGGTGCGGGGGGCCATGCAGAGGGAAGCGAGCAGGCAGGGCACCCACCTCCGTGCCCGGGTCACCGTCCCCCTCCCTGGGCTCATAGGCCTGCCCCATCAGTTCTAATTAACGTTCGCGTTTATCAACTCAATGGCTTCTGAAGTGAGTCTGGGAAGGGGTCTCTGCTGGACCATCACTAAAAACCACACTACATCTGGCTACTCCCCAAACTCTGCCCCGCTGCGGTCTTTCTGGGGTGGCTCGCTGCTAGTGGATGGCAACAAGTCTGCTAAAGGGCTAGAGGTGTGGGGCAGGAGGGGGACGTGACTGAGGTGGGGACAGCCCCGTCCTGTGCTCCAGTCACTGGCAAAACCTTGCAGGAGTTGAGGGTTCCAGAGGGAGCAACTTCCTCGAGCAAATGCCTCTAGTCTTAGGGTCTCGGGATGACACCTCGATCCATGTCGATGTGGCCCAAGGTGAGGGGAACGTGGCAGAGGCAGGAGAGATGCCATGTGCCCGGGCACACTCCCCCCAGCCAGCCTGCAGAGGCTACGAGGAGAGGGGAGGTCGGCGGTTTCCGGTGGCTGCTCCCTCCCCTGGTCACAGGCCTGCTCCACCCGGGAGCTCTAGTTCCCAGGGGCCGGTGTGGTTCCCCCGACTAAGACGGCTCCTTACCCCAGCTCCTGCCCCGTCTGCCCCACAGCCCACAGCCACGTGGGCCCTCGGTTCCCGCAGCTCTGACAGGTGGAAGAGGGGATGCAGCAACACCCTTCAAGCAAGAAAACACTTTCTGTTCTGAATGGGGAAGGATGGCAGGCGTGGAAGGTCATGGGGAGCCCTGCAGGGTGGGGAGAAGTGAGCCGCCGTGAGGACGGGGACAGTGAGCATGGCAGAGCAGACGGGAGGGCACTGGGCCTGCCCATCACAGCGGGGCCAGCCTCCAAGCCCTGGCTGACCCCGGCCGCCGGGAGGACCTGGTCCTCCACCTCATGCTTTCCAGCCTGCCTTGAGCTACGGGCAGCCCCCTGCCTCCCAGGGGGACGTGGGAAGGTTCAACCGGGCCGTTCTGCCTGGAGCCGCCTGTGTTCTCACCCCGTCCGGGGCCTCTAGCAGCTCTGAGTCCCAGAAACGGGAGAACGGAGACAAAGGGCCCACAGTGTGTGGCGGGGCTCCCAGGCATCTGCAGACGTGAGCAGGGGTGTGGGTGGCCTGGGAAGAACGCAGCGACTGCGGCTCCGAGCCCCGCGGGTGGGGGTAGGAGACGTGTACCAGGGGGCCCAGGGGAAGGTGATGGGCACAAAGCAGCCTGTGGGGGACGCCAGGGAGTGTCCCCTCCTGGAGCCACTGCCCTCGTGCTTGCTCTGCCTATCCCTGGTTGGGCAAGTCACTTAACCCTTTTAGTCTCAGGGTCATTATGTGAAGGTGGGATAATGACAGGACTTAGCTCACGGTTATTACGGGGATTAAAAGGGGTGAGGAAGGCAGAGGGCTGCGGGGGGTGTCTGGCACCGTGTCAGGGCCAGCCGAGTGTGTGACGTCACCAGGGCAGCCAGGCTTCCCAGAGCAGGAGGTAGGGCAGACCCCACTGGGTTTTGAACATGCAGCTCAAGGAACACTTGCGGTAAGGATCCCCTTGGCCATGACGGTCTCTGCAAACTGACTCTCCTGTCAGGATCCCTGACACACGGACATCCCTGGGCCGTGTCCTCCCAAGTGACTAAGCGAACGGTGTCAGCTCTGCACGATGTCACATGGGAGACGTGGCCAGCTTGCCCTTGAGAGCAGGGTCACTGTCAGCCCAGTATGGAACGCGCACGCCCCCTCACAGGTCACGCTGTGCATCCCCTGCCACTGCTCCTACATCCACACCTGGAAGGATCGAGTCTGCAGTCAGGGAGAGTGAGTCCAGGCTAGGGCCTGCCTGTGGACTTGAAGCACGGTTGGCCAGGTGGGAGTCCAACACCCTAACCACCACGCCACCTGCTGGCCCTAATCACACCCTTTTCTTTTTTTTTTATTTATTTAACTTTATTTTATCTATTTATTTATTGCTTATTTTAATTTGATGAGAGAGAGAAAGTGAGAAAGCAAGCTGCCAGGTCTGGGACTCAAACCATGGTCGACCCTGTGGGAGTCCAGTGGCTTAACCACCACACCACCTGCCTGCCCCATAACACCCTAATTTTTAAGAAGAGGAGGCAGAGATACAAAGACAGTAAGTGGTACCCTTGGATGAGACCGGGGTGGGGTGTCCCGCAGGCGGCCAGCTGCAGCCGGGCACGTCCCTGCTGCGGCACACACGGCACCCACACTCCTGCACCACGTGCTCGGGAAACGGGCTCGGTTAACAGCCAAACGGCCAGTCCAGACGCCGAGCCGTGCCTTGTGCCGGCAGCCGGGTCTCCAGGAGTGTGAGCTGGCCGAGCAGGGCTTGATGTGTGACTGCAAAGGGAGCCCGAAAGGCAGGCGCACCTCGCGGGCCCCGCCCGATGCCGTGCAGCTGCTAAGTGGGTCACAGAACCACTGTGAGGACACGGCCAGGTTGTGAGGTCAGGCCCGGGTGTGCGTGATTCATGCTTTAGGGGTGGCGAGGCACCGGGGTTTTAAAATCTGTCCTTAATTTACATTGCCTCACTAAATCATCGGGTGACGTTAAACAAGATCCGTGACTTCTCCACATCCATCTCCCTCAGGAAATACGAGCAGTGAGCGTGGACTAAGCCCTTTTCTTCCTGTCTCCGCAACTGGAAGAGCTCCCGAGTGTTATATAACTCAAGTGCGGTCTCAGATGAGGAGACTGCGGCCCAGGAAAGTCGAGTGGCTGGTCTACAGGCCCACGGCCAGGGACAGGGAGCGCATGGGGACCTGTCGCACACAACGCACTCGCTCACAAACGCGCCTGCCAACGCCGTGGGGCTGGGGGGCTGCAGCTCAAGAGCTGGGGTGGGATTGCTGCGGCCCTCTCTGTATTCGATGCCACCTGGGTTCCTCCTGAAAAGCTGTCGCGTTCTGAATGCTACCTCTAAGTCAGCCCTTTCCGCTCCTGCTTTCGATCTCCTAGAATGGCGCCTCCACAAAGAACGGACCTCCTCCCCGACCTCGAGCTTGGTCTGCCTTGCTGGGCCTTTTCAGAAACATGCTGACTTTTACAGACCAAATTTACGGCCGTGCGGCCACAAAGGCAGGCGTGGTGCCGTGTGTGGAAAGGGCAGAGGCGCTGGAGTGAACTCCATCGGGCTGAGGTCTAATTCTTCCAGCACTGATTCAGCGAGGATTTGTTCAGAGCCTCTTCTCTGCCAGGCCCTCTACTGTGGCCTTGGGTGGGTCCTTTAACTTCCCTAAGCTCAGCTTCCTCCTCGGTTAAATGAAGGTAACAAAAAACGCTTCCTTTTCCATTGCCCTGAGGGTGAGGGCCTAGAAGCCGTCTGACGGGCAGGAGCCCGCAGATGGCATAGCACTTAAGGCCCTGGATTCCCACGTGTTTGGTAATATTTCCTTTTTACTCCTTTTTTTTTTTTAAAAAAGAGGCCCAGTTTTTCTCTGGCCCTTAGCTCCGCCTTCCTTCTGACGGGCAGTGGGTCGGGGTCGGGTCCTGTCATTATTCTGACTGGGACCTGGGCTGCAAATGCCCCCATCGCATTGACAAACAGGAAGCCAGACGGAAAGTGAGAAAGAGACAGAGTTAAAGCATAGAAAACCAGGAGCCAGCAGATGGCATAGCACTTAAGGCCCTGGATTCCCACGTGGCTGACTGTGGTTCGAGTCCTAGAACCGGGCAGCTTTAAACTTGCTAGGCAAGTGTAAGTGCATTCCCAAAATCCCAGGAGGAGAAGGGAGGAGAAGGGATTGCTGCGTGGTCATCCCCGCTCGGGGGGATTTCTCATGTTCCTCTCTTTGTCTGTCTCTGTCTCTTTCTAGTGAGCGCATGCACCCTATGGCCGAAACCTGAAAAAATATATAGAAAAATAGAAACAGAAAAAACTCTGAGAAAACATTTATCATGGGGCGGGGGAATCTATAATTAATT